GTCGATGGTGTCAGGTGCTGCACAGCGCTGATGTGGTGCAGTCTCCATGGCTGCGCATAAGCACCTCGGAACCTCCTACAGAACTGTCCAAGCGAGCCATCGCTGCTTTGAACATGGGATCAGAAAATGCACTCGAGACACCACCAGTGCGTCTTTTGCTTGCAAGCTGCGAATCAGGACCACATCACCTAGTCATTGCGCTTCACCATTCGCTGTACGACGGCGTCAGCTTCAACAACCTGCTAGGGCATGTCGCGCGGCTGTATGCGAACGAGGAGCTTCCGCGTCTCCCATCATTTTTGGACGCCGCAAGACGGATTTCAGTCTCTCAAGCGCGCTCACTCCAGTACTGGGCTGAACGCATGCAAGGCTGTAACACTCAATTTCTGCCTTCGCGAAACACGGCATCTGGCCCGGATAGCTCCGCTGCCTGGCGCGCTTCCATCGCCCTCGACACAGAGCAAGGACTTGAGCTTCAGCGAATCGCTCGGCGTTACCAGGTGACACCTCAGAGCATAGGACAGCTGGCTCTTGCGCAAGTATTGAGCAAGCGCAGCGGACATGTTGATATTTCGTTTTGCCAGGTTGTTTCGGGACGGACGATGCGCGAAGCTGCCGATGTCATTGGTCCAGTCTTCAATACTATCCCCTGTCGAATCGCGCTCTCGCATTCCAAGAAGCAACGCAATGCACTCAAAGAGATCAACGCTGCAAACGTCGACGCGCTGCGCGCGCAGCATGCGTCTCTCCGCGACATCCAGAAAGCCGTGCGAGTCAGAGCGGTGTCTGATGTCCTGTTCGTCTTTCAGCCTCACATTGACACGGAAAAGGAGAACAAGGAAACTTGGGACCCGTGGACCGTTGTGAAACGATCGTCCGACACTGATGAGAGCAGCACGCAATTCAGTCTCAACATCGAAATGCACGAGCGCAAGGGCGCGGGCTTTGCCATTTTTTCGAGCTGCGCTGCGGATGTCTTTTCGAAGGCGGACCTTGAAGATCTACTCCTTGATCTTCGCACTGCCATCACAACGATTCTCGCTAATCCTGGTGCTCCAAGCTGCACTCGGGAGAGGGAAGAGCATGCTCGCACAGTAACACACCAAGACGGGATGCATGATCTCACCAACGGGCCTAGTAACGCGGCGTCGGCGTCAGTGCCTGCTTCTGCGCTGTCTGCGTCACAGCAGAGGCTTGTGGAGATTGCTGCACAGGCGTTGCGTACCGAGTCTACTCAGCTGAAGCCTACGGCAAAGCTTGCACACCTCGGGCTCGACTCGATCGCCGCTATACAAATCTCCTCGAGGGCCAAGCGGGTCAACATCAAGCTTGCTGCGGCTCAGATTGTGCGCGCAGAGACGGTCAGGGCATTGCTGGACTTGGTGCAAGACACGGAAGAATCGACGCCGCGACCAAAGTCCTTCGAGCTGCCCAAGCTACCTGATAGGATCGCCAGTGCTGCCATTGCCCACTTGAACAGACAGCATCAAAAGGGAGCACAGGCTCTGCCCGCTCCGGCTGGGATCGAGTACGTCTTCGCGGGCTGGCAACGCTCGGGAGGGCGGTCATTCCAGACTGCCGTTGCGCGCAGGTTCCAAGGTCGCCTTGATCGAGACGTACTGAAGAGAGCTTGGACGAATCTGCTGCAACATCACAGCATCCTGCGAAGCACAGTCGCGCCCACGAACAATATTGAGCATCGCATTGCGCTTCTCGTCTTAGCCGAGGCTTTCTCGCCGCCGCTCGAGATTGTCGATCTTCACCAAGGTGAGGATGAGGAAGTTGCTGAAGTCGTTGCAAATGCACGTGCTGCGCTTTTGGCTCCTCGAAGCGTGCGCGAACCAGCGAGCCGGCTGTCACTCCTACGAGGCGCGCACGACGATTACATTGTGCTCGTCTTGCCCCACATCCATTACGGTGCGTTCTTCTCCCGCGAGCGTCTTGTGCCATTTCCGAAAGGTCGCAGCTGACGTTTGAATCGCGCAATCGACTAGATGGTTGGTCTTTGCCACTGCTGCTCAGGGATCTGATACGTCTCTACGATGGAGAAGAGCCCAGCTCGGCCGCCGATCTCAGACCGCTGCTGGAGAGCTTCTACGCTAGCGCTCATCCTGAGGACCTCCGAGCTCGCTCGTGGCGTGAGCTTTTGGGTTCCTCCTTTGCGCCTTCATTACTCTCTTTACAGGCTGAAGGACACCCAGAGGCAGGATCTGTGGTGTCGCACGTGTCATTGGAAGACCGTTCCGCTCCACATCCAGATGAGCTGCGAAGCGTCGCCATGAAGGAAGGTGTGTCCGCGTCCTCGCTGGTGCTCGCTGCGTGGGCCATAGTACAAGCGCGAGCTGCCACATCCTCCAGTGCTACATTCGGCATCGTTCAGACCGGCCGCAGCGGTGGCGACTCTGACGCGCTTGCGCAGCTTGCAGCGCCATGCCTGAACCTGGCCCCTCTGCATGTTTCCGATCTTGCGAGCAAGGGAGATATCGCATTGCGAGTGGTCGGTGCGGCTCGAAGGATTCAACAGGACCTGCTTTCGAGACCAATCGAAATGGAACAAGCGCGTCTGATTGACGTCGCTAGCTGGGTCGGCTGCCCGGCAAAGCCCCTGATCAATGTCAGCGTCAACCTGTTGTTTGCCACGCAAACGCGGAATCCTGAAGTAGTGGCCGACTCCACCTCCTCGCGCTGGAAGCCTATCCCGGTGCGTGCATAATGGCTTATGGAGTTCATCCTCGGCGCCAGGCCGCATACTGATTACCGAGCTCTTCTATTTGCAGATCCCACATCATTTCACCATTGAAGAGCAGGCAAATGCTCACATTCCCGAATTGTATCTCCAAGGAGAGCATGGCGCTCTGCTCTTCCCAGAGATTTTGGTGAGTATGTGCTGTGCAAGCCCACCTCAAACACCCGCGAATCCGTTTTCTCACATCACGGCGGGCCTTCACACACAGCTTGATCTTCGCATCGTGGTCGCTGCCTCAAGAGGGGATGGCCGTCTAGTATTGTATGCAGAAGTAGCACACCAGCGTTTAGAAGAGGAAAGGGTTCGCAAGCTGCTGTCAGAATGGTCAAGCTTGCTACATAGCCTTACACAACTCGGAAAGGAGCACAAGAGATGAGCTTGCTGTGCTACTACTGCTTGACCTCGACATATTTATCAAAGTGCATCATGTATCGTCGCACCTATAGAGACATGGAAATCGCGACCTCAACATTGATTAGACGTGTTCGGATGGACTGACAATCGCGAATTGGTATGGAGACTTTGTTGTCTCTTTCAAAGGCTGCCTACGTTTGTGATGCTTTGTGTACAAAGCCTGCCTTCCGTCGGCGGCAGGTCGCGTTGGCAGGCCTTCAGTCTGAAGTGTGCATGGTGAGAAGTACTGTACCACTGCAATGGGACCACTGCGGTGCCCAAGTGGTTCCTGCCTCCTAGCGCCAGCATAACGTAGACGTTCGCCTGCAGGCGCCGAGATGTATTCTGACGTGACCAAGCTATATTTGCAATCTTGTGCTGCTACTGTAAGCAACAGTGATAACTCAAGAGACACGAGTATCAATCTGAATTCAGAGCGAAAACATAGAGTTTCGCTGTGTGCGCCTAAATGTCCAGCTCGAACAGCAGCATGCAACGCCATTTGACACAGTCACAAGTTGCCATTGGCCAAGGAGCTTCGGCTCATCTATGCAGTGGCTCACTTCCAAAAGCTCGCGACGCTCACACGACTTCTCGCCCGACTAGATTTGAATGATCGCAAAGTCGTGAAGGATTTCGTTCTGGTACATGTTGCTTGCGTCACCCGTGTCGCTGCTTGAAATTGAAGCGGCGAATTGTAGCTAGATGCCTTGCATTAGCGTCAAAATCCAAATGGAGCTGCATATTCTGGCCCGCAGCTGCTGGTCGCTCGTGCTGGTAGTCTTGAGTTCGTCGCTGCAGCAGCTGATATGCACGTTCTCCTCGCGCATGAGGTCTCTTGTCAGATCGGATAGCAAGTGTGAATCTGAGATCGGATACGGGACGATAAATATTTTTTTTACTCTGCTAGAAGGGCCCACAGCATGCGTGGTGCGCCTTGCTCCACTTTTGCACAGCACACCGCTCGTACAGTAGTAGATGCGTCTGCGTTACCCCCTGCTTTCTAGCTGTGCCTTCCCGGGCGGCTGCCCCTCGCATGCATAGCCCGGCCAGCATCCCCAGCAGCTTTGACTGCAGAATAGCTAGGCTGGCTGATCACCGCCGCACCTCTGTGAGGCATGGTGGGGACCGCGGGCGAGTACATGCTGCAGCAAGCATCAGCAGCCTCTGTGATTTGACGACGCCTATGGCATCACGGCGCGCCGCGCAACCGCACGCGAGCATTGCGCGGTACTCCACTCGCAACATCATATCTGATCGATCCGACACATGTGACTGATGCGCGCAAGCATCTTTCTTGCCTTGCTCTGACGACCAGTAGCCAGCCTCATCCAGATTTCAGCCTGCAGCGAGGCGAGCTTGCAAATGGGCTGAGCTTAGTCTCCAGTGACTGTCATACTTTATCATTCTCATCTTTCACGCGATCGACCCACACGTTCACACATCTTCATGCAAGTTTCGGCGCAGGTCAATCCAAGGTAGAATTTTCGCGATTTATATTCACGTTTCCGCCTCAGATTGATCAGCAAATACCGCTCGGTCGCCGACTATTGGGGTCTTATATTGTAGCATCGTCAGCCGCTCAACACGTCAGAGACAACACACCACTTGCACAGCCATCTCGCACACTCAGACTCCCATTCCGGTCTCAATTTACGCCTGCCACAGTCCACCCGAGACACCCTTTAATAGCGGCGAGTCTGCTGTGTGCACTGTGCGTGCTGTGAGATCCATACTTGGCCAGCTTTCAGCAAAACCACGTTCGTCCTTCATCAACACCCCTTCCATCTCGTCACGCCCGTTGACTGGGAAGCACAAATCCACCCATACACATAGCTTTTCATCTCAATCCGGCATCACGATGGCTTCGAGTTCCCGCGAGGGCCAGTCTCCTGGACGCGGAACGTCGCAAGATGGTCCTGTCGCCATCAGCAGAGACGAGCTTTCACTGAGAGAACATGCAGAAGCTTTACCTGCGGCTGTGCTCGTGGAAGAATTTTCAGCGGCAAACGCTGGTGGACGTAGCAGCAGGGATGGAGATCGATTTGAACCCATCAAGGCGAATCGCGATGTGGAAAGTGGATCGCCATCCCTCAAGAGCCCCACTCTAGACGACTCGCACGCAGCTTCGATGAGCGATTCCGAGCAGAACAATTGGAATCGGCATCAGAGACATCAGCAAGCAGGCGTGTCAAAAATGGAAGCGCTCTACAGAGTGTTTGGCGGAAACAGAGCGCTCGTATGGAGCTTGTACGTGGCCGTGGCTGGTGAGCATCTTGTCGGCCATGGATCTTAGCATCGCATACCCCAACTCACCAGTGCGCCATCCTCAACTTGCAGCCATTGTCATGTGCTTCTGCTTCGACGGCAGCACTACCAGCCAGTACCAGATCTACGGCGCTTCTTCATTTGGCGAGCATGCCTTCCTGTTGAGCTTCATTGATACCGCAGAGTCAATCATTAGTGAGTCTTCGCTGCGCACGAACGAAACAGCGTCAGGCAGGACCCTGACAAAGAAACGCGCGCATCCCATGCCGCCTGTCAGTTGCCGTTTCCAAGCCTTTCATTGCCAAGGTCTGCGACGTGTCTTCGCGACAAACGGCATATCTGATGATTTTGGTCTTCTACGTCGTTGGCTACGCCATCGTCGCAGCTTCGCCCACTGTAGGCGCTTTCGCAGCTGGAAGAATTATTAGCGCAACCGGTCAAGCAGGCTTGGACCTCGTTACAGACATCATCGTGGCCGATATCAGCCCACTGCAATGGCGTGCTCTTGTCACTGCTGCTACTTCTTCCCCCTACCTGTTCCTGTCGTGGATCGGGCCCAACGTCTCTGGCCCCTTGATCGCTCACGATCCACCTCTTTGGCGATGGGGATTCGGCATGTTCTGCATCATGTGAGTTGGGTTGCGATTTTCTAAGTGGCACACCTTGCTGACTTCTCTGCTCCCTTCTTCCCCTTAGTGCGCCTGTATGCGTCATGCCTGCCGTCATCATCATGTATATCGCAGAGCGAAAGGCCAAGAAGAATGGCCAGCTGGCTTTCGGTGCCAGTCTATACGAGCGCCGCTTGATCGCAGCAGATGGAAGTCTAGTCAACAAGGAGAGCAAACTATCCGTGCTACGCCGGTTCGCCGTCGAGATGGACCTGATTGGTCTCTTCCTCTTGACACTTTCATGGTGTCTCATCTTCTTGCCTTTCAGTCTCGCTTCGAGGGCAAAGGGAAAGTGGGCCAATCCGTCAATCATCGCCATGCTGGTCTGCGGCTTTGTCATTCTGGGCATGTTTGCAGCGTGGGAGATTTGGGGCGCAAGTCAGCCCATAATGAACAGGCGTATCCTCAAGAATCGCACATTTCAATTGGCAGTCACCATCGACATCTTCTACTTCTTGACCGGAACACTGCGCTCGACTTACTACAGCTCATACGTATACGTCGTCAAGCAGTGGACGGAAATCAATTGGGGATACTATATCAACATCAGCACGTTTGGTCTCACCCTGTTCGGCCTCTGTGCTGGAGTTCTGCTGCGCATTACTCATCGGTACAAGTACCTCCAGGTATTTGGTCTGACTATTCGACTGGTTGGCAACGGCGTTGCGTTGTGGGCAAGGGGAGCAAACGCCAACAATGCCGCCCTCATCTGGGTACAGATCCTCATCGCCCTCGGCGGCTCTTGCTCCGTTGTCGGTACACGAGTGGCCTCTCAAGCAAGCGTCCCTCATCAGGACCTTGCTTCAGTGATCGCGCTGCTCAGCCTCTGGAGCAAACTCGGTAGCAGTGTTGGCAGCGCCATTGCGGGAGCTGTCTGGGCCGGCACGATGAGGGACTATATGCGCGAGGAAGGCGTACCACCAAACCTCATCAATTCTCTGTACGGAAGCGTCAAGAATGCGCGGAAAAACTACCCACTGGAAGATCCGATTCGACAATCCGTCATTCGCGCGTACAACCGCACGGTGTATCCTCTCTTCCTCGCCGCCACTATCGTGTCGGTCGTGCCACTGCTCGCAGGCCTGTTCATGCCAAACTACTACCTCGGCAAATCGCACAACAAGATCGAGAACACCGATGTGGGCGGAAGACGTGTCGCCGGCGAGGGTCCCGGCAACGATCCTACCACCGCACCAGGCGAAGCTCCGGGCGTTGTGGCTGAGCCTGAGAGGCCCAAGAGCAGGATTCGCCGCGTGTTTGAAATCGCTTTCAAACAGTGAAGATGTGATGCGTGGCGCCCCTTATCCAACTTCACCGCTTCTTTCTTGCCTCGCGCTCATTGGTCCAAATGCAACAAGAACGAGGTTCGCTCGCACCACATAAAACGTCTACATCACAGATATGAGGGCCTTGCAAGAGCATGTACATCACGACGAGACATCAGCGCGTACCCTGTGCAGTGCCAGAGCAATCCCAACTGCATCTTTACGAGTTGTTTAAGTGAGCCTGCCGTTGACTGGACGCTATTGACTACCATCTCCACCGCCATGCATTGGGTTCTCTGAACCGTAGGTGTTGTCTACTTTCGGCCGATGCTCTGTCAGCTTTAGCCCGAATGAGCCTCCTGGAGCGTGATGGATGATCTGACAATCGTGAGTGTGCATCTCACGATAAAATGCCAGCACTCGGGCAAAGCAAAACGCGTCAGTCAGGCAGTCCAATGCGTCATTCGTCAGCGAGTTACCAAGTTCTTGCTTTGCTCGCCCGCCGTGCCGTGAACAACAGGTCGAGTTTGCTCTCACCACCTTCTAGCACGCCAAGGCAGCGCAGCGCAGCGCAGCGCAGCGCGTACAACAATCACTCGAGTGACAGTGAGGATGCTCGTCGCGTTCACGAGATCGCATTTCGGAATGGAAGCCGTCGTCGAGCTATGTACGGTGACATGTTTGAGGATGGCAGGTGGCGTGTAAGGAAGAGGATTGTGAGTTCAAAAGATCGAGATGGACAGCTAAGATACTGATTGTGGGCGATGGACAATCATCTTAGCGCAAGAAAGAGAGTGTGTGTATGGGTGTGTGTGAGTGCGTGGGACACGGGAACGGGAACGGATCGCAAGCAAAGAAAAGATGCATGGCAGGAACGACGGATGCGCAAAGCACGACGAGGACTCAATCTGCAAGTTTGTGGCACCCAGTGCTTTGGCAAACGTTGAGCCGGTCATGTAAGATATAGTCGCGCTTCGATCAAAAGGCTCATGGACAAAATTGCCTTGATGAAATGAAGCGACAACCAGAGTCTTGGGGGGGATTCGGCGCTGCCGAGTGTGAAAGAGAGAAAGAGCGGAGCGGTGAAAGGAGTGCGCGCGAGACGTGCGACCACGAGCCCAGTCGTGATCGCATGGCAGAGAGCCGATACAGTAGAGGAGACGATGACGAAGAAAAGGGGTGACGCGGCATGAAGTTTGGAGGCGAAGTTTCGATGTTAGAGCATGCGACGGCCATCAAGGCCGACGGAGGTCCCGTAGCGATATTCGTGATGTCCCGCCTCGAGTATCAGCCGACTTCACTGGCCTGGGAATGAGAAGCGGAAATCGCCCTCGCCAAGGTGCACGGAGAGCTTGAATTGGTCCTGTTCGTTGAAGGCAGCTGGGGAGGAGCCGCTGCGAGTCGCGGCTTCTTGAGGTGCCTCTAGCAAGGTGCGCGTACCTGGTGGTGCAAAAGGCGGTCGGTTGTAGTCGTGCGCTGCCAATCGGTCCACCTCAATGTCGAGACTTGGCGAATCTGATCCCTTGGCACTCTCGGGAAACCCGCTGCTTCTGCTTGAACGATCATGAGTCACTCGCTCCGCAAACGGCAGCAGAGGTGGGGTGAGAGCCTCATGCTCATTGGTAATGCTATGCTCGTTCATGCTGCTTTGCTGAGCCGGACTTAGCGCGCGGACCTCGTTCGCGTCGGAGAAGGGCGATTCAGTGCCACCTTCCGCAGTCAGGTGTCCGTGAGTGGGTCCCGATCTGTCGTTCAACTCCTCTCTCGCATCGGCAATTTCGATGTTCCTCGAGACGTCCGAATCCGAGTGAAAGGAAGGTACAGGTTTGCGACGCACTGTGCTGTCGGCACGTGTGACGGTGACAGCGGGTGCGACTGCTGCAGGTTGGCGATGAGCAGTGACAATGACGGCATTCTCGTTAGTGAAAGGGTCCACATCGGTGCTTTCCGGCCGACCACTGAGCCACGGATCGGTTGCAGCCGTGGACTGGCTGAAGTGAGATTGTTGTGCCGGCGTGATCAGAGTAGAATCACGTCCAAGATTGCGGTTCTCCTGCATGTACAGACCGGCACCTGCTCCAACGCCGGCATGCCCGAATGACGATTCCTGGTCCGCTTCAGAACGCACGTCGCTATTGCCTCTCTGCGCAAGATGAGCGAAGTGGCTGGGGCTGATTGGCTGAGCATCAGGAGAACCTGGCTGTGAAAAGTCAATGGCATGGTCCCTGTTGAGCATCGAGGCGTCGCCGAATGTAGGGTTGCGCATGGTCGCGCGAATATCGGCTTCGTGCATGGCCAGGCCAGCCGAGTGTACTGGATCCATGGGCTCGCTGATCGTGCGCTTGTGTTGAGATTGCCTCGATTCACTGCGTCCCATGCCGCCGAAGAACTTTTCGTTCCAGATATTCTGGCCTCCCTGACGCCCAGCGGCAGCTGCGGCTCGACGGCGGAGGAACAGAATCACTAGCGCGGCCAAGGTGAGGAGCGATAAGACGACAGCAGCTGCGATGCCTCCGGAGGAGACACCTCCACCCCCACTTGAGTTCTTTGGCGAGTGGTCATTGCCAGACAGCGTGGAAGCAGTGGCGGAGGGATCAGACGCAGGTGCTGACGAGGGATGGACAGCTGCAGTAGTGGTTGCCGGTGCCGGATCGGTGCTAGCAGGCGCACTAGCAGACGTACCCGCCGGATCTTCTGTTGTAGTACCGCTGTCGTCGCTGCCGCCTCCTGGTATGCAGGAGGTGTCTGTCCCGCGAGTGACGGTGAAAGGGCTCGATGTCGCTATGATGTCAGAGCCCACCACCGTGGCAACCCAGCGATACCTCCCCGCATCCACGCTGGTGTCCCAACTCCAACGATTAGAGGACAGGGCCACGCTACCAGCCACATTGATGGGAGCTCCAGCACGGGCTACGAGGTTCGAGTGCCGTCTGGTCGACCGTCTGATGTTGATCGATCGTCTCGAATCGGTGCCGACAGAGTCGTTGTCTAGCCGTTGAATTGCTAAAGCAACGCTAGCCGTCGAGTCTTCCCTTCCAGACCAGGTCCAGAACACGGTCGACTGTTCGCACGTTGTCGCACCGCTGGCGATGAGATGCAAGACGCCGTCATAGACGCCTGCGGAGGCATCTGAGCTCTGCTGCGAGTCGGCACCGTCATCGGATGTGGAGCTGAACGGCAAGTTGTAAGTGTCAGAGGTCTGCGACATGTTGAACTGCTCGGAGACAGAGAGAAACTCGGACCCAGCAAGAGTGAAGAAGAGGTGAAAAGGGGAACCAGGATGGTATCGGAGAACGAGGACTGGTGCGAACAGAAGAGACAGGCGATCGGAAAGATGATGGTAGTGTGGAACTGTCGACAGGAAGGTGTAGCGTGTCGAGGAGCAACAGGACTGCCAAGCGTTGCCAAGCAGAAGTATTCGAAGGCGCCAGTCTAGAGCGAGATGATAGAGGCACCGAATCGAAGGAAGATCAGCCGTGACGCTGATCGAGTCAAGAGCAAGTAAGGCGTGTGGGAGCCGAGATCCCGAAATGACGTGTGCAACGGTCGCGCCTATTGTGCAACGGCGGCGGCGTCAAGCTTGGCCGTCGAAGTATATGAGGCTGCAGGCTGGATGAGATTCGCGCGAGGGAGCTGAGATGCTCGAGCGTGATTCGGACTCTCTGACTGTAGAGAAACAGCGAAGTCGAGGGAAGCGGCTGGCCAGTGATTGCAGATCGAATTTGGATGGCGTTGATGGGTCGAATTTGACTTTTGGCTTGCAAAAGTCGAGAGCGAGGTATGAGGCTGGCAGTCTTGCGTGCAGCAGTTGGGCGCAAGGTCAATGTGCACGCACCGCGCACCTTTCGAGAAGGAAGCGAAGGCGTCTAGCGTCCGCTTTATGAGGGCAGATTGGGTGTGTGGTATAAGGTGGGCAGAGCAGCGCTTTGTCTGCCTGCTTGAGAATGAAATGAGTCGAGTCGCGCGGAGTACGCGTTGAAAGGGTCTTTCTCTCGACTGTCTGACCTCG